AGCCCACTGAATGACCTTTCCCCTGTGACCTGCAGCCAAAGTGTCGGGGCTGGAATTATTTTAATGGGAGTTTGGCTCCTGGTTCTGCTTGGTCATCTTGGTAAGACAGGTCACTCTGTTTCTCTGAACACAGTTTTTTTACCCGCAGAATGGCAATCAAAACTACACCTATCTTACCAAACTCTTGCCAGGCTTATTTGCAAGTGCTAAGATAAGAAGCACATGAAAGGGCATCTGACCTTGTCTAAGAAGAGCCAGGAGAGTCTTCTTCAAGGGAGTGAAGTCCAAGTGGACACCTAACAAAGAAAAGAGCCTAGTAAATCATGATACACCTTTCTGCCAATAATAATTGCATTATCATTTTAGTAATGTAAGATCTTCCTTGACTTATGACAGGCTTTCATCCCAATAAACCCATCATCAGCTGAAAATGTCTTAAGCCAAAAAGCATTTAATACATCTAACCTACTGCACATCACAGTTTAGTTTAGCCTGCCTTGAATGTGCTCAGAACACTTATGTTAGGCTATGGTTGGGCAAAATCATCTCACCCAAGGCCTATTTTATAAGAAAATGTTGACTGTCTCATGTAATTTATGAAATACTGTCCCGAAACACAGAATGGTCATACATGTACAGAAGGCTTGCAAACATACCAGTTGCTGACCCTCATGATGGCATAGCTGGCTTGGGCGCTGCCCGCTATCATGAGACAGTGTTGCACCACATACCACTTGCCTAGGAAAACACTGAAATTCAAAATTTAAAGTACAGTTCCTATTAAATGCATATTGCTTTCACACCATTATAAAGTCAAAAAACCATAAGTTGACCAATATCTATATAACTGATACCTAAATTTATTTCAGACTATGTTTCCTGTTCTACTGGTTTAGCTTTCTGACATAACCTTTGAATTTCATTAAGTTTTTAGGGGGAGGAATGCTGTGATTTTTAATCTATTTTAATTAATTAATTAGTTTTTAGTGGATGACAATTATCTCCAAAATTTGGTCTATCATTTTCCTAAAGGCATTTCTGGAAGAACTCAGTATTTTGCAATATCCTGAATCATTGGCTGTGTAATGTGAGAACTAAAAGAAATATAGACTGTGTAACTCTTTCTGGTTTTCATAATGAATGGAATAAGTTCATGAACTGTGTGTATGTGTATGTGTATGTGTATGTGTGTGTGTATAAAAATGTGTATACATCTTGGATTTGATCCTGAGTTATTCCTTTGGTATAAATAGGACACTGAAAGTCACATTAACTTTTCCAGGTCATGAGGGTTTTCATTAGAATGCTGGACTATTAATAGTTACCTAGTGGTGGAGAGGAAATGATGTTCCATTCCTTCTCCTCCCCAGAGGGCTTAGCCTACCAGAGATCAACAGTGATTTGCAAGTGTCTGGTTCATAGTGTGCTGGTATTGTTTGTAAAGTCAAATTTTGGATGAACATTTTTCAATGAAAAAAAATCAACAAGGGTGTCTTCACGAACATTCTGTTTCCTAAGGAAAATTATCCTACATGGAATTTACCTAGTGCACTGCATAAGAATTCTTAGCACAGAATATCCAGTACGGTGTAAAAATTTATTTCCCTCGAGTTGCTTAAATGTCATCGTGTTTGGTACAAATAAGGAAATAACTCCTTGTGCAAATAATCTTGCCTACGCTTCTCTGCTATGGTCTCATACATAAGAGTGCCATCTACATAGAAAAGGATAACTGAGTTATTACCTAGTGAATACAAACAATAGAGGTTGCCACAAGAGATAATTCAGAAACCTTTATTTTGTTTTGTTATTCTGTAAAACAAGATTATCTGCCCAAAGAATCTAGAAAATTACCTGTACTATTTCCAACTGATTTTGTCTGAACTATTTCTGTGAGACCCACTGAATAGGCCACATTGGGATGAAGTGGACTTGTTAGAATAATAAGATCTATCACATGGCTAATATTATCAGGTTTTTACTAGACTATAAGCTGCTTGAGGGCACAGCCTGTATCATATTTCTCTTTGGATCTCTCCTGGGTCTTGAAGGTAGTAGGCATTGTCTAACCAGTTATTGAATTGATTTAAATTCATTTTACTATGAAAATCATTTCTGAGCCCCCCAAGAATCAGACAGTATTTGAAAAATATATTCCTCAATACTCTTTTTAAATTACATCTGGTATAGTTTCCCATTGGGATCCACGTATGTATGGAAACATAAGTGTATTATTTGTGGAAATTCTGGATTTTGACAAGGAAAGCAGCATCAAAAATTGGGTAACATTTGGCAAATATGGGTAAAATTGATGCAGACATGTCTGGCCTAGCAGAATTCATATAGATTAAGAGTTTTTGAAAAGACAAAAACAAAAACAAACAAACCATTTTCATGGCTATAGTACATTATACATTTTGTCTTACTTTTCTATTTTGACAGTGTTATTATTAGATAAGCCTGAAAATCAGGTGAGGTGATGCTTGTGTGTTTGTGCTTGTGCATGTATGTATGTAAACAAGAGATAAATGAAATTTCATCTTAATAAGATGAGTCTGGCATAGAATGATGATAATGGCTATTAATTGAGAGTCCAACATGTATCAGGTCACCTTTATTCTTTTAAAAAATTTAAAAAAGATTTTATCAGTTGCTTTCTTATATACTAAGAATGAAAATATAGAAAAGGAAATTAGAGAATTGATTCCATTTACTATAGCACTAAGAACCATAAGATACCTGGGAATAAACCTAACCAAAAAGGTGAAGGATCTGTACTCTAGGAACTACAGAAAACTTATGAAAGAAATTGAAGAAGACACAAAAAGATGGAAGACCATTCCATACTCATGGATTGGAAGAATAAACATTGTTAAAAGGTCTAAACTGCCTAGAGCAATCTATACTTTCAATGCCATCCCATTCAAAATTCCACCAACATTTTTAAAAGAGCTGGAACAAACAATCCTAAAATTTGTATGGAGCCAGAAAAGACTCTGCATTGCTAAGGAAATGTTGAAAAAGAAAAACAAAAGTGGGGGCATCACGTTGCCTGATTTCAAGCTTTACTACAAAGCTGTGATCACCAAGATAGCACAGTACTGGCACAAAAACAGACACATAGACCAGTGGAACAGACTAGAGAGTCCAGATATGGACCCTCAACTCTATGGTCAAATAATCTTCGATAAAGCAAGAAAAAATATCCAGTGAAAAAGAGACAGTCTCTTCAATAAATGGTGCTGGGAAAATTGGACAGCTATATGTAGAATAATGAAACTCGACCATTCTCTTACACTATACACAAAGTTAAACTCGATATGGATAGAAGACCTCAATGTGAGGCAGGAATCTATCAAAATCCTAGAGGAGAACATAGGCAGTAAACTCTTCAACACCGGCCACAGCAAATTCTTTCAAGACATGTCTCCAAAGGCAAAGGAAACAAAAGGGAAAATGAACTTTTGGGACTTCATCAAGATCAAAAGTTTCTGCACAGCAGAAGAAACAGTCAACAAAACAAAGAGGCAACCCACAGAATGGGAGAAGATATTCACAAATGACACTACAGACGAAGGGCTGATATCCAAGATCTATAAAGAACTCCTCAAACTCAACACTCCAAAAACAAGTAATCACATCAAAAAATGGGCAGAAGCCATGAACAGACACTTCTCCAAAGAAAACATACAAATGGCTAAAAGGCACATGAAAAAATATTCATCATCAGTAGCCATCAGGGAGAACCAAATCAAAACCACATTGAAATACCACCTTACACCAGTCAGAATGGCCAAAATCAATAAGACAGTAAACAGCAAGTGTTGGAGAGGATGTGGAGAAAGGGGAACCCTCTTACACTGTTGGTGGGAATGCAAGTTGGTGCAGCCACTTTGGAAAACAGTGTGGAGATTCCTTAAGAAATTAAAAATAGAGTTACCCTATGACCCAGCAATTGCACTACTGGGTATTTACCCCAAAGATACTGACGTAGTTAAGAGAAGGGCCATCTGTACTCCAATGTTCATAGCAGCAATGGCCGCAGTCACCAAACTGTAGAAAGAACCAAGATGCCCTTCAACGGATGAATGGATAGAGAAGATATGGTCCATATATACAATGGAGTATTATGTCTCCATCAGAAAGGATGAATACCCAACTTTTGTATCAACATGGACGGGACTGGAAGAGATTATGCTGAATGAAATAAATCAAGCAGAGAAAGTCAAGTATCAGATGGTTTCACTTGCTTGTGGAGCATAAGGAATAACATGGAGGACATGGGGAGATGGAGAGGAGAAGTGAGTTGTGGGAAATCGGAGGAGGAGACAAATCATGAGAGACTGGACTCAGAGAAACAAACTGAGGGTTTTGGAGGGGAGGGGGTAGGGGGATGGTTGAGCCTGGTGGTGGGTATTAGGAAGGGCATGTATTGCATGGAGCATTGGGTGTGGTGCTAAACAATGAATGCTGGAATACTGAAAATAAATAAAATAAGATAAAATGGAAAAAATTTTCAAAAGAAGATTTTATTTATTTATTTGAGAGAGAGACAGACAAAAATGGCAAGAGAGAGCACAAGGAGGGGGAGCAGCAGGCAGAGGGAGAAGGAAGCTCCCCTCTGAGCAGGGACCCCAGTGCGGGACTCAATCCAGGAGCCTGGGATCATGCCCTGAGCTGAAGGCAGACACTTAACCGACTGAGCCACCCAGGGGCCCAGTCACCTTTAAATACAGTAATATATTTAATGTATAAAACAACCCTAGGAATTAACTGTTATTTCCATTTTAAGGTTAATAAACTGATGTTCAGATCTGTTTAATACCTTGCTCAAGCTCATACAGTAAGTGGCAGAGCTGAGATTCAAACCCGAAACTGACTAGGAAATTTGTCTTCTTCCCACGTATTGTGCTTGACAGAGGAGGCACCTACACATGGTGATTCTTAACAGTGTCAAAACATCTTTTTCTTTGGGAACAACCCTTGTCTGTAATTATTACCTGTAGAGTCTTTCTTTGAGGCTTATAGCTAGATTAAGGCATTGTCGAAGGAGAGCAGTAAAATAGTCCAATTGCAGCTTCTAGCACTGCCAACATTTCCTGGTTAGTTACTGGACAAAAGTGAGTCACCTTGAATAAAAGAAAAAGAGCGAAGTGAGAGGGTGTTTAATGCTTTGTCTCTTTTTAATACAACAAATTAAACAATTTGAATTCTGAGTAGAAAGAAACAAGTGAGATATTATGTCACTTTTCAAACCATGTTGGATTAATATCCCAGCATTTTTCCCTTCAGGTGATGATGAATGAGCAGCAGCATCGCAGAGCTGTGGTGGAAGAGGTTGAGAACGAGCCTGCGTTTTATTGGCTGGTAAGGGGGCCTAGGTGATATTTTGACTGGGGAGGAGAAGGGTGATATTAGAGAAAATTAGCTGGTTTGTCGTCAATCTCCTTTCCTATGCATACAGGACAACGATAACGTTAAAATGTTAGAACTGAAAATCAATTTATCTGTCTGACTTTTTTGTCCAAGTGCTGTGATGCTCTGCCACCAGGAAGTCCAGGTCTGCTGAGATGGGCAACTAAACACCTAAATCCTCTTGTTGTGATATGTGCTAGGTATAGCAGTGAAGCAAGGCACTGCTCTCAAGTAGCTTATAAGACATAACAATTTCATATAATGGTATGCGAGGACTTTTATTTTTTTCAAAAGATTTTATTTATTTGAGAGAGAGAGAGTGAACACAGAGGGAGAGTAAGAGGGAGAAGCAGACGCCCTGCTGAGCAGAGAGCCCGATGCTGGGCTCCATGCCAGGACCCTGGGATCTTGACCTGAGCTGAAGGCAGATGCTTAACCCACTGTGTCACCCAGGCTCCCCATGTGAGGACTTTTAAAAATATCAGAGTCAAAGAAAATTCAGCAACTCAAAGGGAGAAAAATTGCCTCCAGAAGGCCCTGGGAACTAGCCCTAGGCTGGGAGTGTTCAGGGGAACTGTGGGAATATAAGACAATAGAGAGAAAAACTAGGGCCCCGTTTCAGCTACTCGAAGGTAATGGCATTGGTAGGAGATGGCTCTGCTTTCCCTGGGGCTACTCATATTGTGAAACAGGAGAGAATGCCTGGGCATTAACTCTCTGGAAACTGCTTGGTTTAATGCAAACTCTCTTTTGTTCACTGGTGACTTGAGGTAAGGGTCTATGAACTCTCACAGCCAATCACATTCACCTTCTGTGAAGAGTCTTTTTTAATAATTAGAAAATATATATTTCATTTATGTTATTGAGGTGAAATTTACATGAAATTAGCCATTTCAAAGTGAAAATTTCAGCAGCATTTACTATATTCACCATGTTGTGCAACCGTCACTTCTGTTTAGTTCCATAACATTTTTGTCACCCCAGAAGGGAACCTCATACCTATTAAGTAATTTTTGCTCATTCTCCCACCTTCCTGTCTCTGCTAACTACCAATCTTTGCTCAGCCTCTACTGTTCTTGTTATTTATTTATTTATTTATTTATAAAAATATTTTATTTATTTATTTGACAGAGAGAGAGAGAGATCACAAGTAGGCAGAGAGGCAGGCAGAGAGAAGGGGGGGAAGCAGGCTCCCCACCAAGCAGAGAACCTGATGCAGGGCTTGATCCTAGGACCCTGAGATTATGACCTGGGCCGAAGGCAGAGGCTTAACCCACTGAGCCACCCAGGCACCCCTGTTCTGGTTATTTATTATAAATGGAATCATAATCTTTTGTGTCTGGCTTCTTTCACGTAGCATAACATTTTCCATGTTGGAGTATATATCAGTTCTTCATTTCTTTTTATGGATGAATAATATTCTAGTATATGTGTATACCACATTTTATCATTATTGATGAATAGATATTGGGCTGTTTCAACCTTTTAGCTCTTGTAAATAGGGCTTCTGTGAACTTGTATTGTCATAGTCCATTTGAACTGCTGAATAAAATACAGACTGGGTGGCTTATAAATATGGAAATTTATTGCTTTCAGTTGTGGAAGCTGAAAGTCTGGGATCAGGGTGTCAGCATGGTTGGGTGAAGGCCCTTTTCTGGCTCAAAGACTTCTTGTATCCTCACATGGTATAAGGGGCCAGGGAACTCTGTGGATCTCTTTTGTAACACTAATCTCATTCATGAGGGTCCCACCCTGATAACTTAATCATTTTCCAAAGGCCCCACCTGCTAACATCATAACACTGGGCATTGGGATTTCAACGTGTGATTTTGGAGAGATACAAACATTCAGACCACACCATGTGTGTACCTGTGCTTGTTTGAACATCTGTTTCCAATCCTTTTGAGTATAGACCGAGGAATAGAATTACTGGGTCATATGCTAATTCTATCTTTATCTTTTTCAGAAACTAACAAACTATTTTTTACATGGGCTAAATGATTTTACACACCCACCAGGAATGAAAACAGTTCCAATTTCTCCACATCTTTGCCAACATTTGTTGTTTTCCTTTTTTTTTTTTTTAAATTATAGCCATCCCAATGGATACAAACTGGCACCTCATTGTGCTTTGATTTACATTTCCCTAATGATAAGCCTTTTTTTCATGGGTTTGTAGGCTATCCGCATATCTCCTTTGGAGAAATGAGAAATGTCTATTCTAGTCTTTTGCCCATGTTTTAATTGTTTTTTTTTTGTTGTTGTTGTTGAGTTGGCCCCCTAAGTTTTGATCCATGTAGTCCAGCTCTGTCCAATGTAAATCTAATCACCACAGCAGTCTTAACAGTGGGGCATGGGCAGGGGGAAGAGAAAGCAGACAGCGCAAGAGAGGTGGTACGTGGGATGTGGCTGAACGTGGGATGTGAAAGGGTGTCACACAGCTTTACCGTCCTTCATAACTTAGACATCACAGTTTGTTTTCCCTGATAGCTTTGACTTAGCACTTGGATGGTACCATTTTCTGAATCCATGACCTCAGCTTCATTCTCACCACCCTTGTGTAGCTCTGCCATAAAGAGCTACCATTTTTTAGTGTATGTCACGTACATTATCTTGCTTAACCTTCACAGCCATACCATGTTGACGTTATTATCCTAATTTTACAGATTAGAAGAATTGAATCTTGGGGAGATTGAGTAACTGTTTCAAGATCATAACTAGAAGGCTGGGGTGTCTGGGTGGCTCAATTGGATAAGCCTCTAACTCTTGGTTGTGGTTCAGGCCATGGTTTTGGGGGTCGTGGGATCAAGCTTCTTGTTGGGCTCTGTGCTCAGCAGGGAGTCTGCCTGAGATTCCCTGTTTCCCTCTACCCCTCCCCTCTCCTCATGCACTTGATCTCTCTATAATAAATAAATAAATCTTAAAAAAATCACAACTAGCAGGAGACTGAATGAGTAGGAACTTGATTCTCACAAATTCACACCCTTTTCCTCTTACTCCACAGATGGTTCCTCCCTTGCATGAATTATTGTCAAAGTCTCCTTGCCTATCTCCTTTTTTTCAGTATTCCCTTCCTCATTCAGTCCTCCACACTGTTGACTTGATGATTTTTCTAAAATGTAAGGCTTTTCATGCCACATCCTTGCTGAATGTCTTTTAATGGTTTGTTAGCCTACAATATCCTCGTCTTTCAAGTTATTGTGTTTTACTGTCCTCATTTGCACCCCACCTTATAGTCATGTCAAACTATTCTTAATTTCTGGAATGGGTCAACCTGTTTCATAACCTTGTGCTCAAAACACAGAGTTCCTGCTGCCTGGAATGCATTAAGGACTCCCCTCCACCACAGGATTACATTATGAACTTCTCCCTATGCCATAAAAATGTACAAACATTGGCAAATAATTAGGAGAAAGAGAAGGAGCTGCCATTATTTACATATCTCATCTTGACAGTCTGGAATATCCAAGAGAATCAACCAAAAAGCTAATAAGACCACTTAGTAGTCAGATACAAGATTTAAAAAAAAAATCTATCTCTCAATCACCAACAGTAACAATTTAGAAAATGTAATGGAAAGAGGGTTCTCACTCACAGTAGCATCAAAAACTATAAAACGCTTTTGGTGGGAATGCAAACTGGTGCAGCCACTCTGGCAAACAGTATGGAGACTCCTCAAAAAGTTAAAAAAGGAAGCTACCCTATGACCCAGCAATGGCACTACTAGGTATTTATGCAAAGGGTACAAAGATGATGATTTAAAGAGGCATATGCACCCCAATGTTTATAGCAGCATTATCAACAATAGCCAAATTATGGAAAAGAGCACAAATGTCCACTGGCTGATAAATGGATAAAGAAGATATATATATATATATATATATAATATTACTCAGCCATCAAAAAGAATGAAATCTTGACATTTGCAACAACATGGATGGAATTAGAGTATATTATGCTAAGCTACATAAGTCATGATTTCACTCATGTGTGGAATTAAAGAAGCAAAACAGATGAACATATGGGAGGGGGAAAAGAGGGAAACAAATCATGAGACACTCTTAACAATAAGAGAACAAACTGAGGGTTGATGGAGGGAAGGGGGATGGGCTAGATGGGTGATGGGTATTAGGGAGGGCACCTGTGATAAGCATTGGGTGTTGTATGTAAATGATGAACCACTGAACTCTACTTCTGAAACCAATATTGAACTTTATGTCCACTAACTAGAATTAAAAACAAACTATATAACATAACAAAGTAAAATTAAAAAAATGAAAACAAACTATAAAACACCCCAAAACAACAAAATACGTGAATTCATACTTTAAAAAAACTTTCTGGACTATTATTGAAGGATAGAAAAATAATACCTGAATATGCAGTACAGTCCATGTTTCTGCATAGTGTCACATGGTGAGGAGCCTGAGGTCTGACCACTGGAGTCCAGTTCTTTCCTGGGTCATCTCAGAACATTTGCTTCACTCCTCTAAGGTGTGGCTTGCCCTTCCTTCCTTCCTTTATCTTTCATTCTTCCTCCCTTCCTCCCTTCCTTCTTTCCTTCCTTCCTCTCTTTTTTAAGATTTATTTATTTATTTGCGAGAGAGAGCATGAGTGGGAGGGGCAGGGAGAGAGAGAATCTCAAGCAGACTCTAAGCTGAGTGCAGAGCTCGAGGCGGGGCTGATCCCCTGA